TGTGATTCAGTTCTGTTATTTCTTTGCTCATTTTCTGTCTGGTTGATCTGTCCCTTGGTGTCAGTGGCGTATTAAGGTCTCCTGTTACAATTGTGTTACTGATAATTTGAGTTTTCATTTCTGTTAATAATTGTTTTATATAACTGGGTGCTCTGGAGTTTGGGGCATATATATTTAAGATAGTTATCTCTTCCTCTTGGAGTTTTCCCCTTACGAGTATGTAGTGACCTTCTTTGTCCTTTATGGTCATTGTTGGTTTAAAGTTCACATTGTCTGCAAACAGAATGGCTACTCCTCCCTTTTTTTGGATTCCTGCTGCATGAAGAATTGTTTTCCATCCTTTGATTTTCAGTCTGTGAGTATCCTTCTGGGTTAGATGGGTTTCCTGTAAACAGCATTTGGTTGGATTTTGTTTCTTGATCCATTCTGCTAGTCTGTTTCTTTTGATTGGTGCATTGAGACCATTTACATTAATGGTTATTACTGTTAAATGCTGGTTTATTGTAGGAATGTTATCTCTCTGCTGTTGCATCTTTATCTTTCTGTTCTGTTTAATTGTTTGCTTTGCTTCGTGGTTTTTTCCTTTGTGTATCTAAATTGTCTTTCAATATTTTTTTGCAGGGTTGGTTTGGTGTTCATGAAGTTCTTCAGCTGTTCTTTGTCATGGAAGTATCGTATTTCACCATCAATTTTGAATGATAGTTTTGTAGGATATATCAGTCTAGGTTGGAAATCATTTTGCTTTAGGATCTGGAATACCTCACTCCATGCTCTTCTTGACTTTATTATTTGTGCTGAGAAGTCTGCTGTGATTCTGATAGGTTTTCCTTTATAAGTGATCTGTCTTTTCTCTCTGACAGCTTTTAATAATCTATTCTTGTGTTGGATTTCTGGGATGGTGATTATTATATGTCTGGGTGTAGTTTTATTTTGGTTATGACTATTTGGAGTTCTATATGCTTCACTGATCCTGATGTCAGTTTCTGATCTCATGCTTGGGAAATTTTCAGCTATTACTTCTCTAAATATCCTCTTGACATCCTTTATGTTGTCTCCTTCTTTTTCATTAATCCCTATCATTCTTATGTTATTCTTCTTTGCATCGTCTTGCAGTTGTTGAATTGTTGTTTCCTGATTCCTTGTTATTTTTAAAAGATCTTTCCTTTCCTGTTCACTAGCTGCAATCCTGTCTTCAAGGTCTGAAATTCTATCTTCATTTTCATTAAGGCGGTTTTTACAACTTTCAGTGGAGTTTTTTATTTCCTGTATATCTCTGTGCATCTGCATTATGTATTCTGTTTGTTTCTTATATTGCTCGTCTAGGGACTCTATCTTTTTGTTTAGTTCCTCCAATTTTTTATCTGTGTTTTCTTTAGATATATTTAGAATCTCTTTCATTTCTTTTATCATTTCTTCTTTTATCTGGGAGATTATTTCGAGTTTGAATTTCTTTAAAGCTTCCTGTATTGCTTGTCAATTTCAGTAGCTATTGTGTCCGATATTTGAGGCGGATGGCATATATTTTCTTCTATATACATTGCTCCTAGGGTTTCTTGAGATGGGCTGGAGGTTTGAGGTTGTAATTTGGTCTTTTGTTTTGTCATTTTCCTATATTTCTGTGTTTCAAGTGTTATTTGAAAGCTTCCTCAGGATCTGTTGAAAATCCCCTTCTATGTTTGCAGCTACTGAGACTCTGGCACCACGCTACCCCAAGCCACTGGGCCTGCAGAACCAATGGCCCTCCTCTGCCTGCTCAGAACTCCACAGTTCCAGACAAACTGGGCCTCGGGGACACTGTGTGCCCACCTGCCCCTTGGAAGCTCCACAGCTCTACAATTGCACCCTGGTTAGGGTACTCACCACAGGCCACGGTGCCTCAGGAACCTGCAATCCCTCCCTGCTTGCAGAGATATCCACAGTCCTCCAGACACACGGAGAGGCCAATGCAGGCACCCCAGATCCACCCAGCCCCTCCTCTGCACACCGATCTCTAGGCGAGGCAGTGAAACAGGCTGGGCTCCGGGGATAGTGAGGCCCGCCCACCCGTCAGAAGCTCGGCAGTTCTCCAAGTACAGCCGAGATGGGGAGGCGGATGTAGAGGTCTCAAACCCACCACTCCACTTCACTGCACCCGGAAGCCTGGAGGGTCCGGAACAGTCTGAGATTTGGGCAGAGTGTGCTGAGCACTCACCACAGGCCGTGGTGCCTCAGGAACTTGCGGTCCCTCCCTGCTTGCAGAGACATCCACAGTCCTCCAAACACACGGAGAGGCCGATGCAGGCACCCCAGATCCGCCCAGCTCCTCCTCTGCACACCAATGTCTAGGCGCGGCCAACAATTAGCTCTTAAGAACAGGTTCAAGCCAGCACCACTGGTCGCCTGATGCCAGGTGACACTGAGGTTCCTGCATTTTCTGAGGCTCTGACACACATCTGGCCTGCACCTGTGCCACAGCTGCCTCCAATGCACATTTAACTGTCACCACTGTGTGGTCTGACAGTGATGAAACTTACTTCAGTCCTGTGCTCCAGGAAAACATCAAGGGTAAGAAATTTCACCATCTCTGTTATTCTCAGAAATCCCCTACCCCCATAGCTCTCCAACATTCTCAGTATTCTAAAATAAGACCTCTTGTGACTGTTATTTATCTGCCTTCATAACACTGCAAGTTTCTTTTCTTTGTGCCATTACTCATTAATGAGCCTTCTGCCCACCACAATAGCCATCTCCTTAATTCCATAGTGCATTTGTCCTTCCCCATTCTTGGTTGTCATTGGACCAGTATCCTAAACAAGGGTCACTGAGCTTTGAATAGTGTCCTGAATAACTCATTTAACTGTTTCCCTCTTGGGAGAAGGAAGCTCAGGTGCCCCTCCCTGATGGGGTAGCACTGTTTATTGCAGTGAAAGGGGGTGTTGCAGTGAGAGACGGTAACAGCTCAGGACCCAAACTGAAACCCATGAATACAAGCCTTCCTAGCCCTGTGCTCATCATAGTATAGCATCCTTGACCTGCCATTGTGACAGCAGTAGTGGAGTGGATTGTAGGAGACTGGCCATTTCTTCCTTCCCAATACCCATGCATCAGCACCTTCACTCATGAACTTACATGCCCATCCCCAAAGACACCACCTGACATTACTACCAACTGGGTATCTGGGTATCCTGGTACAAGCTCTCCCTCCCCCTTTTCTCTCTCTCTCTCTCTCTCTCTCTCTCTCTCTCTCTCTCTCTCTCTCTAAGCAACCTTCTTGCTGCCTTATCCTACCCCAGCCTTGATCTCCTTGAGGTCAACAAGGATCAGTGCCCCCATGGACACTGCTACAGACCTGGGCTCTTTTCAGCCTCTGTTGAGGCCCCCAAGAGGATGCCGGTAGCTGCATTCTCCAGCTATGCCCTGGGAAGAGTCACATCCTTCCACCCCTAGCCAAGGGCATTCCCATTGTCAGACTTCTTTCTGGGCTTGTGAGTCAGAAGACCTAACTTTGAGTTTTGACTTTCTGGAAAAGTGAATGATTTTAAGTAAATAGTGTAAGTCCTTCCAGGATCTTCTTTTCCTATTAAAACTATTTCAAAATAATAACAATCATAATAAATACTTCAAAAGGTGGTTATCAAGATTGAATAATTTTCCAATGCTTTATGAATGATGTGCTATACATTTTAATTCTTGCTATTGATATGAACAAAAATAGAAGAGTCTAGAAGCCCTTCCTAGGGATCATATCCCTTTATTCATGTATTAAATTTATTTTTTGAGTGCTGTGTGTTGATTGGCACATGAGACCAATGCATTTGGCATCTTTGCAGGCTACGACAGAAGACAGCTCATCACCACATAGTCACTGCTACACAATCACAAACTTCTGCCTGCATCAAGAAAGCTCCTGGGAGCATGTTAGAAATGCAAGACTGAGGCCCACCCCAGAAATACCAAGTGAGAACCTCTATTTTAACACAGCCCAGGTCATCTGTCTGCACATTAAGGTTTCATGGGGAACCCGCTGCAGAATAGCGGAAGAAATATTGGTGCCTTGGAGTGGCTCCTGATTCATTCAAGGGGGCTTAAGGCAGTCTCTCATCCGAAAGCAACACTTAAGGGGTGCCACATTCAGTTGCCTGTGATGTCTATTGGGACTGCCTGAGTGTCACAGGGCCTGCTGTCCACTCCCTGAGTCCTTCTGCCTCCCTCTTGTCTCCCTGTGCCCTCTGGAGCCATGCCACACTTGGCTTCTGGCTCGGGGCCTGGTGCTCTCAGGCCTTTCTAGCACATCCAGGGGAGGGGAACACCCCTCTGGCCCGGGGAATTCCTTTCTCTGACCACGGCTTCCTTCCCTGGTGGAGAGCCACCCAGCGAATCTCATAGAAGGATTTTTCTATATGCGTCACCCTGATGCAGTGATGACTGATGGCTTGGTGAAATGTATGCTGAACTCTGACTTTTAGGCTCTAAATATAGGCTATGCACATGCTAGGGGAGCTAAATTTAGCAACCCTGGCATGGAGAGGAGGAGGGGCTATGGGCTCTCTGGGGACAACTGAAAACAGCCTGAGACACACTCAGGCAGCTGCTGCAGCCCAGGGTTCATTGATTATTCCTGTCAGGGAAGGAGTGGGCAATTTCATCCAAGGTTGATTTATTTGTTCCACGGATGTGTTAGCAGTCATTCTTCTGCTTATGTTAAAAAAAAAAAAAAAAAGAATCCATGGAGCCTGAGGAGGCATCTGTCTGCCTGAGTCAGATCAGCGTTCTCCACTGGGATGACATCCAGCCCTGCCCTCCACAGCTAGGTTCCTATCTACTGGTGGGCTGTTGCTAATTCTGTCCCATGCTGCCCCAGATCTTTGCTCAGCTTGATGACAAGGCTCCAGTTATTGAGACTGAAGGTCAGAATGAGCGTGTGTCTCTTATGCTGCCAAACTATGATGCCCTGCAGTTCCTTTCTGGTTTCAAACCCCCATGGACTGGTGTACTTGGGGGAAAATCACTTAGTTACTCACCCTGATTCAGGATCTGGTAAAGGCATGAAGAGAACAGACTCCTGAGCCCCCTGCTTCCCTCCAGTGACCAGAGAGGTAGCGTTAGAGCAGCATTTATCCTTTCCTGGCAGAAGGCAGATAGTCAATACAAGAAGAAAAGGTGGGTCAGCCAGCCAGCCAGCCTCGTCCATACCATCACCCCAGACAGCCACTACAGGCCTGGGCTGCAGCAGCTGCCTGAGTGGATCTCAGGCTGTTTGTAGTTGTCCCCAGAAAGCTCACAGCCTCTGCTCCCCTCCACACCAGTGGTGCTAAGTTTAGCTGTTCCTCTCCACCAACCCAGAAGCCACAATAAGCATCCACTTGCTATTTTCCCCTTTGTTTGCAAGAAGCCCATTCCTCTCCATGGTTGAGACTGAGATATCTCATCTGCATTTTGATGGCTGTCTTTGGATAATAACAACTGAAAATGGGCTCTGATCTCCCTCTCCAATTGCTTTCCATTAATTATATCTAATTACACAAACCAGGCAAGGAAGGGAGATCGCCTTGCCTGTCCCAGAATAAATCAGGTTTGATTTATTCCATTATGTTTTCCCTCACTTCTCCAGGATTCCCCCAAACTCAGGGGAGTTAGAGGAATATGATGATCCCTTCATTCTTTCACCTGGCCCTCCTTCACCTCCCTTTCTCCTTGGGGTGACTTTGAGACACTGGCTGGTCTCATCTCCAAAAGAGGGACAAAAGGAAGAGTTTTGGCTTTCTGGCTGTCATCACACCCATACTAGGATGACACCCAAAGTATTTGTGATTTCAGGGCACCTAGGCATGATTAGAGAGTTAAAATCCTGGATAAAACTTTCCAGAGTCCTAATCATGCTCATTTTCAGCATCTCTATTGGCTGTGATTATTTGCAAATCAGTATACAGTCACATCATTGTCTGTTCCCTCGTGATGGAGACTGAATGTGTTAATATACATGTGACTTGGGGCTCCTGATGGGCTACCCTGGGGAAGATAGAAAAAAGTCAGAGAAAGCCATCGTGTTTTGTAGCTGTGACATGGCTTAACACTGGCCAACCTCTCTGGATCTGAAGCCCTTTTTCCCCTAAGGTTTCCTACCTCAGCTCTGGAGGCCAAAGGCTTGGTTTCTCTTTCCAGGCCACAGAGGTACCAGCTGTCACTTCAATGTCCTCTACCAATACCTCCTATCATAATCTCAATACTAAAAATGTAAGGTGTTTGATAAGGAGACATTACACATGCAGATCTGCCTCAATATTTATAATCTCTTACTTTTGAAAGCTATTGTCTCCAACTCCATAGGTATCTGGTCTTCTGATTTATTTTTAATTACTGGGGAATTTCTCAGGCCCCTTTCCCATGATGGAGTAGACGTGGACTTGTACACATTCTGATATTATCTGATTTCATAGGCTACAGACCTTAGACTGTGACCAAATAATCATCAATTCATTTTACAACTCTGGAGGAATAGAAATTTCAGAAAATGAATAGTAAAGCAAATAATTCTTTTCTATCAAAAGGAAAATTAATTACTGTGTGGTGGAGAGTTGATTAACTTCCATGCTAGTTAAAAAAAATTGATTATAAACATTATGCTCATTTATGCTATAGAGCGTGTATGTGTTCCTGTGTGTGTATGTGTTATTCTTCAAAACTCTCATTTGAAGTTATTTTAGCATCTTACTCATTCTCTAGTTAATTAATGGGTTAGTAATTTTTTTGACATTTATTCATGTTACATTTGCATGTGCGTCATGATTTTACGTTGTTGAAAAATTGTACGTTAGCATAAATTTTTGACTTAATATTGACACCTAGTATGTCATATTAATAATCATTCATTATATCAATTTTAGTTTCTATTTTCTTAAAAATAGCAAAAGGGGAAAAACGTATTTCACAGATTAAAAAAAAACAGAAGGTAAATGAAGGCTTTTTGCCCAATATCATAAGGCACAGAAGTGGCAGAGACAATATCTCTCACCACATTTGTCTGCTTTGAAAGGTGTTTAAACTCTTCCCCAGATCAGAACAAGGATGGACCATATTGATGTAGGCTAAACGCTGGGAACTATAGCCTTTGCCTTATTGAAAACTCCATTGAATTTGCAGAGATCAGATAAAATAACCTACTTCTTGTTCCTTCAAAGCAGACAATCAGCTATTGAGAAAGAGGTCTTAGGTACTGTACTTAAACTTGTACAAAACAATGTCTCTCTCTCTGAATGCTTTATTTCTCTGGGCCTGGTCCTCTTTCTGGCCATTATGGTGAAAGCCCCAGAGAACAGAAATATGCCCCAGAGGAGCTAGCCCAGTTCTGCAACCAGACAAGGTTCAAAGGGAGATTTCAACTGCCTGCTTCGCTTTGGTGGACAGACCGGTGCAGCCCAGAGGTGCCCACCCCTGCTGAGATCCTGGGATCCCCAAACACCGGGGCTCCAACAGAGCATCCCCACCCAACCACCCACCGCAGAGCTACTATTTACCAGGTGCTGGAGGAGGCAGCAGTGACTGGCTTGGGAGTAGAGGCGGGCTGAGATATTGGAGGATAGGAAGGAGGGGATTGAGCAAAGGGGAAAGAAACTATGAAGAGAAGGAATCAGTTGCTGGGGCCGCTGCTTTAATCTTTCCCCCTCCAGGACCTCTCTCAGTTCCTCTCTCCTTGTCTGGCCAGCAACCCCACCCCACCCACTGTCATACGCCCCATAAGGCAGCTTCCCCGGCTACTCCGTCCCCGCCCTGAACGTGGCCCCAGGGCCCTGGGTCCCAGCTTTGCAGCTGACAGCACTGCGGCTCCCCGAGGAACTGCGCACTGCAGCGGCCACCGCGGCTGCTTTTGTCGCTTATGTAAATCCGGAGCAGGCACTCGCACAGCGTTCACCTTCTGCATCCTGAAACTCGCTGCCAGAGAGCGAAGGCTGAACTGCTGCCAGGTGGCCCTCCCTCCTGAGCGACAGATAGTCACGCCCTGGAACAGCAAAGCGGACACCCGAAATCCCCTGTGACATGACCAAAAGGCACCTAACCATGGACAGCTCATCTTCTGCCTAAGGGAACACGGCGGCTCTTTTTGCTGGCCAGGCGCCTCCCTGCCCCGCTGAGGTGGACAGGGTCACCGCCCGCCAAAGTCATCAAACCCACTGTGCCAACGGAGTGAAGGACAAACTGGTTCGTGCTGAATCTTCTCAATTACCTTGCTTCACAGACGGACTGACCTTGTGTGTAATTGCTCCCTTCTGGCTTTACTAGAATGTTCTACTCTGCAAACATTAAGAATTTTCCCTGGAGCTAGTCCCAATTGCCCTCCTGGCCAGAATGAGAGGCACCAAAATCTCCTCTCACCCCTGACCACCCGACCAGCCCACTCTTTCACCCCTAGGAAGCCCCACCCTGCCCCTCAAACCTGCCCTCCACTTTTATGAGGATTCTGTCTGTCCTGTGGAGCAAATGCTGTCCATCTACCAGCTTTTGTCAGATGTACTGTAAACTTCATAATATCTTTGTGAGATCTGATTCTTAGCCCTCAGGCAGAAAAACAAATCTTTCCCGTGGACACAATCCTGACCAAGCTGAGAGAGCCCCCAAAACCTCAGCTCCCTTGGCCTAGGTCTATTTGCTATTATCAAGGCTCCCACTCAATTCGAGCAAATTTGCAAATCTACATATAGAGATGGAAGAATTATGAATTCAGAGAGGAAAACTGAAGAAAGAGATTAGGGTTACAGTAAAACAGCAAACACCCAGTTTGCCCGGGGTTAAAGGGAGGACATGGGGTTTTCCAACTGGAATGTTCTGGGCACAGTGGGACTAGTTGGTCATCCAAGGCAGGAGTTGGGATGGCAAAGCTATATTTTCTCAATGACTTGAACTCTAGATTGAAAATTGGTTTTCTTCCCAAAATACACCAGTATTTCCTCCCAAAGGTGTGGTCAGAAAAAAAGGCAACTTTCCATGAATGTTTTAGAAACTTGATTAAGAGAACTTGATGGGGAAATGTAAACAGGACAGAATTCTGGCAGTAGGTGGCAAGAAACATAATGGGCTAATCATGTTCAGAACATTTAATCTTCAGCTATGTCTTATTTATGCCAGTTTGAGTGGCATAAGCTATGAAAGGGCGCTTCTTATCCAGGTGGCATTCCCTCACTGCCCCTGACTGCCCCAGCCCCCATCTGGAACTTAGAATAGTAACAGCCATCATTTGTGTGGCATTTAGAGGACAGTGGACACTCTCTCTTGGATGCAGTCAGCTACAGCATAATGGAAACCGTGCTGACTTAAAGGACTGACACCTAGTCCTTTGATTCCCTTGATTCGACTTGATTCCCTCTGACTGTGTGATTGCAGTGTAGTCAAGCACTCAGCTTTTTCTCATCTTTAAAATGTGAACCAACAGTTCCTGGCCATTGTTGCGATGATTAAATGAGGTGGAATTAGTTCCCAATGACTCTTAATGACACCAACCCTGATGGGCAATTCCTCGAGTGTCTTATACCCTGATTTCCCTGACTGATTGACTTTTCCCCCCAGCTTTGGGAATCATCAGATTCATTCTATATAAATACTTGATTTTTTAAGCATCTATTTGGGTGTCTTTTATCTTCTTGAATAGAACATCTTAACTCTGAATCTCTTTCCAGGCCTGTTTGGACCAAATTCACATAACCTTAGTTAGAGTGCAACCAGATGTTTAGATGCCCCAAGGAGGGGTAGTAGGGAAGCCTGTCACAACCAGAAACTAAAAGGCCACAGCAACAACTCAGGGCATCTGTGGATCATCTGACTCTGAGATTCTTAAAACAATCAGCATTCAAACCTTGAGCAAGGAGTCAAAGCACTCAGATACAAATGCCATCTGTGCAGTTGTAATCTCTAAAGCCCTGGTCTATCATCACTGAAGCAGGTGGGGCAGACATGAGCAGATTGGAGCTATGAGGATCAACAGAGTTATTATGACAGTCCTTTGCAAACTGTAAAATGTAAAGCCATTTAAATGTGAAAAACAAAGTAAATTATTTTGTTGTGACAAAACATACATAACAAATGTGGAACTGTACCCACTTTATAGGTAGAATTCAGCAGGATTAGTCAAATTGAAAATGTGATGTAACCATCAGCAGTATCTTATAACTTTCCCATTACCCCAAACAGAAACTATACACATTACCTAATAACTCTCCAGTTCCCCTTCCTTCAGCCCCAAGTAGCCTCTAATCTACTTTCTGATTCTGTGAACTTGCTTATTTTAGATTTTCTATATAAGTGGATTCAGACAGTGTTTGCCCTCGTGTGTGTGGCTTATTGCATGAATCTTGTTTCCAATTCTACTTCATAGTGGAGTTGCTTGGTCATATGATAATTCTGTTTAGCTCCTTGAAGAACTGTCAATAGGTTTCCTATAAAGGCTTCACCAGTTTTCTTCCCAACCAACAACAAACACAACTTCCAATTTCTTCACATCCTAATCAACCCTGCTATCTTCTCTTTCTTTGTTTTTGTTTTGGTTTGTTTTTATAGCCATCTTCCATGTGAAGTAGTATATAGATTTCTTTAAGGTGTACTATAATACAATCTTCAGACAAAGGCCATCAATCAATAACTATTTGTGAACTGAGTATCAACTGTATATGGATTGCTTCATCTAGAAGATATTTCTTGAATAAGGCACATGCATGTCTGTGTGGCTCAGAGAAAGGTAAGAAAGCTGTAAATAAGGCTATGAAATTAAATTAGGAAATTTGACCCAACAAACTGAGTAGCATAAAAACCATTAACCAGTTAATCATGGATGATAAACGAGTACTCAAAACTCCAGTGATCTAACACCTGTCCATTCCTTACAGATGCTAATCCATAAAGCCTGCATCAGTCTGTGCTTGATTGGCCAGTAACTTAGGAATTTATTTTGATATAACTTATTACTTATTGTGAACTTGATGAGATGTCTGAGATACATAATGTCACAATGAAATCCTACCGTTGTAAGCATCTCTTGGTCTGCAGAGGTCTTTTCATTAAATTGTCCTGTGATGTCCAAATTGGGTTCTGTAGCTCAGATGATGGTGGGTGTATTTGCTATAACTGAGACACTTATCATAGGAGCCCACCATCTTTCCTTCTCTCTCAGTCTCTTTCTTTGTTTCCTGCAGTTTTAGTAATTTTCATTTCTCTTTCATCAAGGAAAAGCTGTGAAGCAAACTTCCAGGCTCACAGCTCAACAACTGTATTTGATCTACTAATAGTCAGACAGAGGATGGACTGGGACAGAAAGCAAAGCATGAGAAGTTACAACCATGTGAAGTCTAAAATGAATTTGAAGTATCTCTGTAATTATAATCTATGTCAAAAGGAAAGCAGACTATAATTTTTTAAAAGGAGGGAAAGGAGGACTGTTATCTACAACATTGTGTTTACTATTTAAAGAATTCAATCCAGGGAATAAAATTGACTATGAATAATTTAAGAAAGATATTATGTATTATAATTCCATGCCCCCCAGAACAGGCACTTCTGCTTTTTGTTTTTCTATCTGCTCCTTAATTACCTCCTCTCATTAGTAGCTGAAAAATGATCATTGAACTAAATTTTGCATTTTCTACCCTTTCTTCAGCTAAGCTTACCAAAATGACTGTCTTGTAAGGGTGAGAGAAAAACGCCTTTCTCTCCTTCTGCCAGTGGAATCTACAAACTTGGGAATGGGGAGTGGAAAAAGCTTGGATTCCATGTATCACATGGCCTGATTCCTGGTTTTGTTGCTGGGGAAAAAGAAGAAAAGCACATTTAAATCACCATTATTGTGGATTTTTGGTCATCACCACCAAATCCACTCAGTATTGATATACCCTCTTCAGTCTCTGGAAGAACAAGCATGCAATGAGCAGTTGTAATCATCACAATTAAAACTGAGTAAACTAGTGTGTTGGGAGTGTTGCTTTGTTCACATTTCCAGAAGGTGCAGTGTTCTTTAGTCCCAAAGATAGATAGATGATAGATAGGTAAATAGATAGATAGATATATAGATAGGCATAGATAATAGGTAGATAGTAGATAGGAAAGATGATTGAGACATGGATCATTTTATTATGATAAGCAAAATAGTTTGGTGATAGAATAGATTACACATATGCATATATACACAAACATTACATATATATATATTTGTATGCATGTTATGTTATATACAATGCATATGATATGTATAAAATATTTGGATAGGTAAGTTTAAAATACCATACAGTAGAAAATCCAGTGAGCCAAGGTACACATATGGGAATTGTTACTGAATTGGTATGATCTCTTGGAAGCAATTTGCCAATATGAAGTACAACCTTAAAAATGTTTATTCTCTGTTATAGAGTAATTTTATTTTTTAGACCCCTACTCTAAGAAAAGAATGTGGACAAAGTTACACCTGAAGTTTTTCACCATAGCACTAGATATGTGCAACACTTCCAAACCTAAGGTTTGGGAGCATGAGCACAGGTGTCATGAAATAATCTTGTTGGCAGTTACTTGGAAGCCTTTAGCATGGGTTGGTTTTCATTGAAAAGCTGTGAAGCAAACTTCACATACTAATCAACCCTGCTATCTTCTCTTTCTTTGTTTGGATAGAAACAAAAAGC